GGTCTGGGAAGATTAGGCACTGGTTTGAAAACAACGACGCAATGAACTGAAATCTGAGAGATTACTTGTCTACTTTCTAGCTGCACCAATAGTCATTTCTCTGCTAATTACCTTCCCTTTTGTGGAGTGGGTGCCATTAGCAGTATCACAGCAGTAATGCTTCTGTACCCATGGCAGTCCAAGGGTATACATGAGGCAAAACTTGCACAATGCATGTGTTTGGGGTACATGCCATGGGATCAGCCACCAGACAGATTTCAGGAATGAGTCTCAGTGCCTGAGTTTATTTTGTTCTGCTTGCAAACATCTGAGCTCTCAGATTTTGAAAAAAAAAAAAAAAAAAAAAAAAAAAGCAGCACTGCATGTCATTCTCTTTAGGACTCCACATAAAAATCGTATCAGTGGTTTATAGACAGCAGCATGGTAGTTCTCCCAGCTCCAAATGCTTTCCTGTTCCTGCTACTCATCCAGATGGAAAGGTTCTCCAAACAAAAGTCTGGTACAATGAAGGCATGAGTGAGTTTGCTTCCAGCCACTTCAGTTTGCAGATAGTTGTCTTACTTTTTGCTGTTGACAAATCTGTCCTTGAAGAGCGTAACTAGAGGTTTATTAGAAATGCAAAAGAACCTTCCTGTCCTCCTTCACTTCGTCTTTCCCGCAGAGCAAGTTATCAGCAAACAATTGTCAACATTTGATTGCTGTAATGCAGGTGATTAAAAGAAATAAGAAATATTTGGTTTTTCTGAATGTTTTCTGTCTCAGTCTGTACCCAGGGTGCCACTTCCACTTGAAATTGTTTTTCATTGCTGTTATCTGAAGCCCACAGCTTATAACAAAAAGGGCTGATTATGTAAAAACAAAGTGACATTGGGATGTCAAAGCAAAACATCTTCACCACAAATCCTGGCCCGAGCCTTGAGCTGGCAGCTGGATTGTGGAGCAAGAGGAATGCCTTTGTGGAAGTGGAGTGGAAATGTATGCTGCTGAGCAGGGCAGCCCAGCCGGTGTGCAGCTCCCCTTCAGGTCCTTATTCATGGGAATGGGTCAGCCTCTTCACACGAGTTTTGCAATTCCTTTTGTGCATCACTCGCTTCTAGATCAGAAGGGGGCACAGCATATAGGGACCACTGGCAAAATATGTGCAGCTTTAATAGGAACAATCTGGAACCAAGTATTTTCCTGTGAAAGACTTTTGATGTGTAATAGAAGCCATACTCCTCCGTAGTGCTGAATAAATTGTAGCCCAGGAAAAACCAAAGACTTTTGCTAAGGGTTTGAATTTTATAAGTTAGCTCTGTCTCATAGATCATGTTTATATATATATGAAAAAAACCCGAACATATGATTAAGTGGATTCTTTTTCTTTACATGAATGCAGGCACGCTGCCGATACCCACAAGCTTCATTTTACACCAAGTCAAAGGGAGCTGTCTTCACTCCTTCGCCTTATATTTCAGTTTAGAACTGATACTTCCACTGATAATTTCAACAGAAACTATTACTCAAAAAAACCTGGCATCACATAACCTGGGGCAGGATTCAACTCACCTAAGTTTAGGTGGATTCAACTCACCTAAGTCGGGCATTGAGTCTCAGCTGCTTGTTTTGACCTTCTCTGTAGTGAATGGAAAAACAGATATTTCTCCATAGGACAAAAGTACCCTCTGTAGCATGCCTGTCACATGGAGAGGTCTCCAGAGGTACTTGTTTTTCTGTCTCTGCCAGTGTAGGGCAAATAGTTAATCCTTGACTCCTAATCAGCTGAAGCTGGATAAGATGCATTCCCCTTTATTATGTTCTTAAATATTGAATCATTACAGCATCTTAATCTGATGGGTTTTGGGATAATTTTTTGAAACTCTTCTCCCCATCTTATTATAAAATGGTATTAAAAAAATTGTGTAAAACTGCTCCCTCTTTCAGGATAAGTTTTTAATTTTAATTTTGGACTCATCAGTAACACAAACTGTAATTTCAGAAAGGCTGCTATTATTTTTAAATTAGTAAGTCAAAAGTCAGTTTTGGGTAGAAGAGTTTGGTTTTTAGCAGAGCTTATTGCTAGAATGAAAACATGACTTTGATAAATTCAGAACACATCCAAACTACAAATCAGAGTTTTTGTTAACTTCCAAAAAACCTCTTCCTTGGCATGCAGTTGGCTGACTCTATGGGGTTTTTTTTGTTTTCTCTATTTTTTTTAAGAACTCTTGGCAACTTCTACACTAGCTGTGCTAGTTAAGACCAATGGTATCTGTAGGATTACTGCCAGAAGGAAAAAAAAAAACATAATTTCAGACCCTTGCTTCAGAGAAGCCCTATCATGAAAAGGGGCGGAGAGATCTCTCCTCGAGAGTAAAGCAAGTGACATGAAAAATCTGAGAAATGAAATTAAAGCCAAGAGCATACCATGGGACAAAATCAGGACTTCTGGGTCATGGAAAGCTGTGTCCCTAGGAAAGGTGGTAAATCCACATTTAATATAAAGAAGAAATCTCTTAAAAAAGGAGAGTGAATGAGTTTAGGTAAGTACAGAATAAATAGTAGAAATATCTAATAGAAAATTCTAAGGAGAACAAAAATGTCCAAAAATTATATTGGCCTTGGTATGTAAGCATTCACTGCGAAGGTATGTTAAACATCCCCATGCAAGTTTTGCCCACAGGCCATGCAAAAACATTCTCCTGACTCCTCCGCTGTCAGTTGGCCATGTCCAGCTGGCAGGTGACGTCTGGCTGCATGATAGCTTCCAATCAGCCAGGGCACAGTCACACAGGCTTGTGCAAACCACGTTCCCTGGTGGTGTGGGTGCCTGGGTCAGAGTGCCTGGCGATGTGTGGGATATGGGCACCACATCACACGGACCGCTCACGTGGCCGTGGCCTCTCTTCTGCATCTCTTCTTCAGTAAATGTCTAGGAAACAGACCTTCTGCTGTGGTTCTGTCTGGATCACGTGATCTTGCAAATTGCTCTGAATTATGCAGCCATAAACTTAAACCTGTATCTTCTGCAGTTAAGCTAGTAAGGTAAGATTTATGTATCATAATTGTAAACTGAACAAAATGGGTTAAAGTGGAATGGAAATCATTAGTATCTCAAAACCTTTTCTGAAACAGAAATGTCTTCAAAGATCAGTAATTCTTTGTAATTATGTAAAGAGCAAACGACTTTCCCAGGCAAATGCCATATTAGATTGAGGTTTATGCTCTTTTGTTGCTTGTTAGTGAAAGAAGGGTACTATGACATCTGCTGGAAAAAACAAAGTGACATATGGTCTGGTGCCCTTTGACTCACTAGGGCCAGGAAGAAATATGACACAGGGGTTTAAGCTGAGGAAGAAAATGAAAAATATGTGGTACCCACAGGCAGACGAACCATGGTGAGTAAACAGCACACTGAACAAGGTGTAAGAGCTGCCACCCAGCCAGGTCTTTGACTGTACTCACACAAGGGCATTGCAAAAACCCTGCCAAGTGCAATGTCAGAAAACTCTCATCGAACAGCCTGCAGCCCTGGAAATACCTGGTTTTCCAAGACTCCTGATGGTAAGTGTAGTTGGCAACATTTCAGAAAAAGCAGCAGCAGATCTAAAGTCTCAGCTTCTTGGTTCCTAGCATTGTCCTTCCAATACGGTAGATAACAGAGAGATCTGTGAGACAGGGAGATCACTGTCATTTATGTTCCTGGCAGTATCAACCAGACTTTTATTTTTAAAAATAAGATAAAGCAGAGTCATTTGGTGAACTTACCTGATTTTCACTGCCTTAATAGCATCTTCAGTGCAAACAGCTGGTGTTGTGTTCATCCTCCTCAGATCCCTGTATTACATACAGTCACATAAATTTTAAAGAGAAGCATGACAACTGGTGTGGTTTTTTCCCATTTTGTGATCCATGGTTTGACATATTTACTAAAATTATTCGTTTTAGTTATGACTTGCAGGCTGAAATTTCTTTAGATTCTTCAGGACTCTATTATTAAAACTGACAGATGTTCCTATCTCCTGCTTTGCTCTGAAAGTTTCAGGTATAAATTACTAATGTGGTAGGACTCCTATAACGGGCAGAGAGGATACATAGTACAGTAAAACTGTTCCCCTTTATTTCAACCTCTTTGTCACTGCCTTTCTCTTCTATTAAGAAAAATCATTTTTCCCACTCAACACTAGTTCTTTTCAAAAGCAATTTGCTGTTTGTGATCTGGTGTAACCACTGCCCATGTAACCCTCAGCTCCATTTCTCTCTGGAGAGGCTCCACGCAGCACTTCCCAAAACAGACCCCACATCAGATGCCACTGGCGGAAATGGCCAAGGTTGGTATGAATGAGGACCGGTGAGACTTGGGGTCCTGCTTCCTTCCATGTCCCTGTGGCCAAGGGACCTTGTGTGAGCTCCCTGTGCTGCAGCAAGGCTTAACCACTACTGACTGCTGAATAAACCTTTACAGGATTGCCAGACTGTCCCATGGTCAGCAGACCGTGGGACCTATCAAGTGTAGGGTGAATGAATAGTTTTTCTGATACAAAGCCCTTATCACTGAAGTAAATCTTAGCTGCTACAACTTAAAGTTACAACTACAATTCCTAATTACTGAACAAGGAGTGTGTTTTAACCTCATTGTCTTAAAAAATTCTGACTTTCCTAAACTTGGTAGCTTCCTTTTCAGCATTTTTCCTATTTAAAAAAAAGTCAGGGAAAGAAAAACAAATAAGCAATTAAGGATTTGACTGGAAAGGAGGCAGAAGTTTGGGAGAAACATCTCCCTGGTTGTATCACACTGCTTCTGAACCTGAAGACCCCTTTCTGAGATGCAATGGAGGGGCAGTGTAGGGCATCAATATGGCCTCAGAGGCCTGAAGTACTGTGGAGAAAATAGCACCATACCCAGCATTTTACCTCCACAGATATTGCTGGTATTCCTCGGTAGCACTTCATATTGATCAGACCTCAGATTTGTACTGATATAGTATAAACATTAGTCTATGTTGAAAAGCAGCTATTCATCAGCTAGCGGGAGAGGGATCTTCTTCCCCTTGAGGAATTTCCAGCACATTTGTTGTTGGCCAAGCTGAAAGAAACAGGAGAGTTCAGACTACAATTTTGACTAGCATGTATAAACCCAAATTTTTCCTAAGCACATATTTGGTGTTTAATTGTGAAATGAGCTGAGCTGCTGATATTCTTTTAAATGTAGAACTGGAAAAATGTGAAATCTATGAAGCCAAGGCAAATGCTGATGCTTACTTTAATATGTCAGCTTGGATCAGCACAAATGATAATACCAATAGCTCCTTTGTTGTAAATGAGGAGTGTCTTTTCTTCAAATTCCGTATTTAATTGCTTTTTGAGGACTTTTTTTTGAGGACAGCATGACAAGTCAGTTGGTAAGTGGCGATCAGCTACAGGTAGATTGTACTAAAGTCTATAACTACTTAATCTTTTTGGCATCTTGTACTAAGAGGAGGTCACAGAAATGAATGGAAAAAACAGTTTTTAAGACGGTCTGAAGAACTGTAATCTCGCCATGTTTCACAATGGGAGAAAGTCCATGGAGGTCACTGGAGTTACAGTGACTTGACACCAGTATGAGTGCAGACAAAATGTGATGCGTCATGTTTAAGCCCTTGAAATTAGACAGTAACTTCAGGACTCCATTTAACAGGAGACCAGCTACTGTTATAATTTTTTCTTGCCAGGAGAACATTTATTTTGCTTATAGCCTATCTGGAGACTGAAAGATGTACTAAGAATAAAAGGTACTAGGGAAAATGATGGGATAACTTTACTGTCTTGTCCCATCAACCCTTGTCTTCACAGGCAGCCCCAGGAGCACTTAACTTGTATTCCCACTGTGCTTGCACAAAACATTTAGGTATGAATGGAGAGAATTAACCCAAAATCTCCCTAACAGACAAACCCCAAGCTATTCAAATTGATCTCAGTAAATAGGTTTTAAAAACATTTTTTTAGTTAAATGGCACAGTATCATGAAAAGGTTTGGCAGCAACCTGAATCAGTGACTCAGGACCTCTGTGAATCTAGTCAATTGTGACAGAGTTTTGAAAATCCCTGCAGGTGTAGCTGCAGCTTTCTGTTTTCAAATACATACAGAAATCAAGCCTTTTGTCCCAGGTTCATCCTGCCTCAGGCTAAGCTCCCCAACGTAAGCATCTACTACCCCAGAGCCCAGCTGTACTCAGTGCAAAGAGGCAGTGCCAGGAGGCAGCTCAGCACAGCTAAACTGGGTCTCTCCAGACACCTCTCCCTCACTGACAGCTCAAAGGAGTGCTGACCCTGGGGGCTGTGATTAAACACGAGAACTTAGGTAGGACACTTGCAGGGATCGGGAAGTGCAGGATGTAGTGGGTTCACTCCTGAACTGGTAGAGCTGCCAAGCCCGAGATGGTGAAGAGCAAAACCGTACAATGTCATGCAGGTGGTACCTGTGTAGGCATTCCACTGCTGTTTCCAAGTTTCACACAGAGAGAAGTGGATCAGGCTTCTCTTCACCTCCAGTACAGCTGGGTCAGCCTCCTGTTGAACAGAAAATATGCACAAGATTTCGCTTCCTGCAAACAGCTTCTTGCTAGTAGGAAACTAGTTGTGACGTCTCTGGCCCTAGAGAAGTGCCGGGAACTATTAGTATTGTTTAACAAAGCATTTGGCTTGCCTCTGATGACGAAGAAAGGTCAGAGGCTAGGGACCTATGTTGAAAACTAATTGCTGAAGCTTTTGTCTGGCTTGTGTTAGATGATTGGATCCTGCTATACAAGTTAGAAGTGCAGAGTGCCCTAAGTGCAATATTTTAATTTAAATGGTTATATTACAAGAGAGAATTCACTGATCATCTCATTAGAGGCTTAGCTATTTACATCTGGAGAGCTTTTCCTCTTTGATCTTTGTAAGAAAAATGAATGGAAGTTTAAGACATGTTTATTTGCTTTTATAAAGGCTTGGATCCAAGCAAAACACACTTATATCTGGGAAATAACAATCAGAGGTTGTAAATGTATTAAATACCTTTGACCAGCACTAGATACCAAAACAGAGATTTCCAAGGCTAAAGAATTCAAGAGTGCTGACTCCTGGTTTCTATTTGTTTCCCATTACAAACCTCATTTCTATGCTACTAAATGAAACAATATACTTCTCCCTGTGGACACACGAATGAGTTGTATCATCATTGTTTGGATTTATTGTTTTCCCCTTGTAGTCTTCAAAACCTTCAAGTGCTGTAGCCTGAAAATTCCATGAGTAGAGAAATCTCTGCTCCCATCTATTGGTGAGCAAGAGAAGAATACCCATAAAACTAGTTAATCTGTTTAGCTGTTTTACCTAAATCACTGATGGAGAGATAATCCAGAAAAGTAGGGGCTCTCTGATAGCATCTATTCATTATTAAAAACTATGGCCCTTCTTTGTATTTTACTTTTCATTCTTTCAGTGGCACTCTGGGCAAACATCATAGTTACATTTCAACGACCACAAAATCCTACCAGTCTTCTCCTGTATTGGGATGACTTCTCTATAAGAGCTCTTGCAGAGGATTTCATCAGTATGGAGAGACAGATATGTGATGGAGTTGAAGAAAGGAAAGTGGTTTTTACACAAACCATGGTAACAGCATCAGAAGTGAGACATTTTGGGCGTTGGACTAGATGATCTTTAAAGATCCCTTCCGACCCAAACCATTCTGTGATCTTCATTGAAAACTTGTTTACTCACCATGAAATAAAATGAAACCTTCAGACTTGTTTTTAGGAAGGAGATTCAGAAAATGACAGAATACCTGTTTGCAGGGGGCTGGAAACAGGACTGCCCAGTCAGGAGACAGACATCTGGAGCTACACTGTTCAAACAGTTCTAACCGATAGGGAAATTTAGCAGATAGGGAAGAGGAAATGATGTTCAGAAATAATGTATGCCTGCAGGAAACTCACGGCATTAGCTGGTGACCAAGTCAGTGGTCCTTGCCAGAGGTACTGAATGAAGTAGATGGTTTTATTTATTGTGCATTGTTTTCCAAAGTTAATGGTATCTTTGCCTTGCTAGTAGTGAAGGCCTCTTTGTTTCAAAGAGTTTCATACTTTGAAGGGATGGACTATTGCCTGAAGGTGCTTGGAAAACATTTTGAATAGGAAGGGACACGGTGCTGTACACTGACTTTGAGGAGGGGGCATTTTTTTGAACCCATGTTCTTTTTGCTGACAGGAGGTCTAGCTGGGTTCAGGGTATCCAGTGATTCGACATGGTGGCAAGATCCCAACTAGGTAGAGGAAAAAGTAGTCAAAAGGAGGTAAATTACTGGATACATATGGAAGGGCTAAATTTCTGAGCTCACCAGCTTCTTTGCTTGAATTTTCTCAGCGTCCGAATCTTAAATGAAGCCTCACTGCCATTGTTTAGGAGCAACATTCAGTTCTTGCCACGCTCACATCGGTGGTCATTGCTATTCTAAGATCATTATGAAAGAGGTACAAGAATGGTAAGGAATGTAAAAGAGGGTTGGAGGGAAAAGATGCTGCTGAATAAATTCATACTGGGGTGAATACAGCACTGAGACAGAATATCATTCAGCAGAATGGTTTATCACTAAAATGTGGCATGTTGCAGTTAAACTGAGATTTTCTAAAGAAAACTGCACCCACAGACAGCTGACTGATGAGTTCACATTATAAAAGACTGTTCAGGAGTTCATCCACTGAAAGGCCATTTGTGGGCTTTACTTTCTCACGGTCCCACTCTGGAAAGAGTTACTCTGCTTGTAAGAGTTACACAGCCCATGCATATCCTCCCATTGTTTCAAGTTAAGGGAACATCAGCTGTTTTTTCTATTGTGAACAGGGGCCATGATGGAGGGCTAATTGGTTCTGTTCAGTTAAATGTCTGTTTTACGAGGCCAGGCTATTTCATACACCGATGCTGGACAATGGGACAGCAGTCTGAATCTGTGATCTCCGTTAGACAATAAGCATTTAGGCCACTTCTGAAGGATTTGGCAAGAAAACTCCTTGTTTCTTTTTCCACACAATAAAACCCCCCAAAAGATAATTAGGTAATTCATAGTGGATAATGATTATCCATGGTTTGGAAAGAATTTCTTTTTGACAAAAACTCCTTTGCATCTATAGTACAAACTGATTTTACTGGAAACTTGCTATCAGCCAGAGGAAGCAAGTTTCCCAGAAAAACTTTTTAAGGTGTGAAGTACTTGTTAACTTGTTAATGCTAGATACATACAAGGGTACATAAAGGTTATTCCTAGCAAGTCATATTACATTCTTGCTAAAGAAAATTTGTATATCTCTACCACTTGATGAGATCGTGGTGTCCAGGATCACAAACCTATTTCCAAAAGAATGCACTTCCTTGGGTTCTGGGGTTTTGCTTTGAGGCCAATGATCATGTGCCAGGTTCTCTAAGAGTCAGGTCTCTGAGCTACTAGAATCATGCTTTGTTACCTCTGTGACAAAAAAATGAATCCTACATAAATTTTAAATAGACAGTTGATTCTGTAGCACCAAGGTATGGGGTTTATTCCAGCTCCTCTTCCTTTCTGGGAGACCCAGATGGTTGAACAACATAGGAAGCACTTCAGGGATCTTGAGGAGGAGAGGTGAAATAGCACGTGCAGCTAATTTCTGAATCTTGACCTTGCTCTTTCAATGATGAAAACTGAAGTAGACCCATGGATGTTCTAGTCCAGACAAGATCCTTATTCAGAGCAATGCTACCCACAGGAACAGGGGTAGCATTTTTAGTTTTGCAGGGGTACAATTTAAAAAGCATATAAGGAGGTAAAAAAGCAAGGAAGAGGTCAGAGGATTATTTTATTTAGCACATATCATTGAGGCCCCTTTATAGGAAGTAATTAATTGCAATATGGCTCACTAGTAAGGTAAATACAGAATTTCCATAATATTGCTTCTTTCATCCTCTGTGCCATATGCAAATCTGCTGATTTCTTCACCAGAAATGTCATGATACAAGTCACAACTTACCATGTAGCTTCCCTTCTTCAGCTCACACCTGTATGCAGCCCACGGGGAAATGAAACAAACTTTAAAAATGTCTTAATATATCCATTGACAGAAATACTGGGTTTACACTGGGGTTTTTTCCATTTTTTTGTATCACACTGTTCACCAGCATTCAAGTTGCTGCCAGGTTTTTGCTTAATTAAAAAAATGTAATGAATTTGAAGCATTGATATTAAAAACACCTAGATATTGTTTCCATTAGTTTATAAACCATTGCTCTGTAAATCCCAGAAATCCTAGTTATGCGAAAGAACTTAAAACCACGGAGCTCTGATCATACCAACCTGAAATCCAAGTGACCCTGGGTTAGAGACAGTTTTTGTCTTGTGTAAAGGGAGAGTGTCATGAGGGACTATAACAAATGCAGTCTTGCTTAACCCTTTTTTGAAAATTTAGTGAGCTCAGTCTTAAAAACAGTTAATGCGCAACTCCTGTTACTCTATGGCAGTTCCAGGATGTCATCGCTTATAACCATCACGATTTCTATCTTAAATGTACTTATAACAAATTTATCCCTGCTTCTTCCTAATACCAAAGTTGTTCTTAGATTGCTTAAGTAGCTTTTTGTCCCTTGATACTCATCTGCAAAAAGTATTCAATGACAATGATTGTATCCCCTCTTAATTTTGTCCAGCTGTGAAGCTGTGATCTCCACTTTTCTCTTGTATGATAGATTTCCCATTCCTCCCATCCTCATATCACCCATTCCAGCATCAGTTTGAGCTCACCTTTCTTAACCATGAGTGGTAAAAATTTTACACAGCCTTTTGCAGAGCACTCTTCTCAGGGCCTCGTACAATAATGCCAACACTTCCCTATCTCTACCTGAACTATCTTTTCTGATGCATCCAAGTGCCACTTCTATAATGTATACTGTTATTACATTTATATGGTTTCCTGGTGTTGGGGGCTCGTATTCTTCACGTGTCCAAGTAGGACACGCAGACCTTTTTCTAATCCTAGCTATAATATATTGCGTCAATGAAACAAATCACCAAAATCCTATATGGTGAAAACTGCTTACCAAAATCCACTTATAAAACAGGCTTCCAGAGATTTGTTGAAAAACAACTATCTCCTGAAACTGGAATTACACCTGGATGTAGTGAACGTGCATGAAGTGAATCACTTAACCAGCTCTGTTAAAGAGTCAAAAAAGTGAATGTTTGTTAGATATTATTGTGACTTGCAAACAAAAAAGCATTTTTATTACTGTTTATTTCTTGCAGTGCATTAGTGCCAGGTGGCCTTCCACCAAAAGGAAACTTCTACTCTACAGTGTCTTAAACAAACATAAGTTAAAGCAAAACAAAAAAAAATATTCCTCAGCAAAGTATTTCCTACTCTAATTTGGAAAAAGAAAAAACCAAAAAAGTCCAGGGAAGGTGAGTTTTTAGGTCACTAGCAGCTGACATTGGAAATAATACCCCTATCATATGATTTCATTTTACTATTGTTGATGAGTAACTCTTCAAAGAAAAATTGCATAGCAGCTGTTCACAGAAACCAGTACAATGTGAAAAACCATTGCCTTTTATAAAATAAGGACCAATCTCTTCACAAGCTTGCATGAGTGCTAGCATGTATTTTTGCAAGTTCATTGTAAGTTGGACGCATCTCCCCACCTCCATTTTTGAAAGGGAGGCAAGGATGGCTGGTGACTACTGCCCAGGTCAGCTGAAAGCCGTGCATCCACACAGCCTGCAACCAGAGCGACTGAATATCTTCCTTCACAGAGAAACTGGGCATGAAATGGATGCATTAAGAAAAGCTCAGGAAGGATAAAGAAGGCATTAAGAAAGTATGTTGAGGGCATGGCAGAAAGATCTGCTAACAATATGGAATGAGGAGGCAGATAATTGTGTTTGATTTTACACTAAAACTAGTTCTAGAAGAGCAGGCAAACTGTTTGAAAGACATTATCTTCTCCAAGATCTGTGCCTTCCTCTCGCCATAATTCTCTGCAAAGGCTTAAAAAAGTCAGATGGGAGAAAAAAAAAAAAAAAGCGCCTGTACATAAAAACTCATGAAAAGCAGATTGAACTGAGATCTGGTTTCAGATCAGCATGTGCCAGCTAAAAAGCAACCATACCTCTGCCCAAGTGTAGTGCCTTTGGAGAAGAGCATGCCTGCAATAATTAGTACAATTGCTGAGACTGTTTCAGAGATTCCCAGGATGTATATACTTAAAAAAAACCCAAAACCAGAAACAAGTATCAGCATTTAAAAAATAGGTGAATAGCATTTGCCTTGTTAGATGGCAATCTAAATGCAATGCTGGAGGCAGTGTTAGGAAAAGCGTCAAGCATGGGAAAATACTCCAGTAAGAAACAGAAAATGGTGCTTGTAGCTACTTATAATAACATGTTACTCACAGGCATCGCTGACTCAGAATTTATCCTTAAAGCCATTATATTGTATAATAATTCAAATGCTGGCTCACTCTAGATCATGCTCTTTTAAAAAACAGAAGAGTTGGCCAAACTGCTATTGATCATCCCTGATGTGATAAAAGAGAGTTCTAATGACCAGAGGGAAGGTGGCTCAGCAAAGGAAAACCTGTCACACTCTTCAGATTTATGCTGATATAGTTGGGTTCAGCTACATAAAAGCCACCTGAGAGAAGATGGGAGGCAGCCATGCCAGCAGTGGCGTGGCATCTAGGCAATACAGGGGAGCTGACCAAAAGGGGAACAGAAGAGGACTGAAGGATGCAAGGACATATGCTCACAAAAGGTCAGCACTAGGAAAAGCCTCAGCTCTAAGCCTCAGACAGGAAGCTGTGGTAGGTGAGCAGCAGTGTGCCAGCTGGGAATCTCGTTATGAAATGAAATAAGCAGCAGGCTAGAAGCAGCCTCCTTCTAGCCACCACTCAATAGTACAACTGAAGAATCATGAAGCTTACCAGCCCACCATGCCAAGGCGTTACAGGGTATGTCTAAAAGCCATGTCCTGGTGAACCTCTGGCCTCAGAGGTTCTGCAGACAGATAAAACAGGAAGGAGAGGTGAACCGAACTTAACAGGACTTGAAGAAGGAACTTAGACTGATGGGTGAAGATGTCTACAGGGCCACTGGGAGGCCAGCCTTTGTGTACATGGCTGGACTGCTAGCAACTGCTCTGGTATTTCTGTAGCTCTCTATATTAGAGTTGGAATGCAGTTACAAGCCTGGAGGCTTTTTGTGTTTTTACACAATGTACAGAGTGTGAAATATATTCTAAAAAGAATGCCACAAAATCCACGGAAGATCACTGCATCTCACTTTCAATTTGGGAGAGGCAGAGACTGAAGCAAGCCAGACCTTCTTATTGGAATTTGAATAGATAACATTCATTTGCATGCCCGCTTATAGGCTCAAACATTACTCATCTGGTCCAAAGTAATTATAGCTAATGAGACTACAGGTAGTCTAAATTATAGATTTTTCCATGAAAACTGTTTCATGCTACTCCTTTACCCTATAGCAGAATTTGAAGTATTGTCCATTTACAGACCACGTTGACAAAATTCGTGCAATATTTAGAGACATATTGGAAAAGAAAGGTATTTTTCCACTGTTGCAGAAGAGTTTCAAAGCAGAAATGGTATTGCACACCAAGTGCCGCATTAATCACTGGCATACTGTAGTAAGCTCTTCTCAGAAAATCAACCTAATTAGGCCTGGATATTTAATCTGAAGAATGGTTGCCACAGTTGGGTTACAGCTGAATGATGGCTTTGAACTCAATTTCATTCATTACATGGAGGTGAAAGATAGTGTAAAGACACTATTCCAAATAAAGATGGCTTGCCTTGTGGATGACTGGCTTCATTTCCATAAATTTCAAGGCGTGTAGCCTTGAAGAAGTAGCTCACATAAATGTAACAAGGCTTTAGCTTCAACTTGGTTTTGGCCTTCCACATTTCATCAGTAAGTACCTAAGCAATAAGTTTATTATGTGCCCCCTGCTTGCCTGTCCTTCATCCTGCTTCTTGTATGGTCTTCACTGCCATTTCAGACCATTAAAAAGCTCCTTGCTTAGCCAAGAGGACCTCTGCCATTATTCCCTGCCTTCCTGCACAAGGGTCAGTTTGGTCCTCAGCTTTCAGTAAGTTTTCTTCAAAACGCAGCTCCTTTGAGCACCTTTGCCCCTTGTGGCAGCTTCACAGAAGATCTTAAATAATTAGCTAGCTACACTTCCTTGTGTAAATTATGATCTGATTATTCCTACAGCTGGTTTTAATAGCTTTTTTAGAACAATGCGTGATTTATCTGATGGGAGAACATGAGTCAGTTTTCACAGATTTCTCCTACTCCTGGGTCATTTTTTAATTTGATTTCCAAATATTCTTGCCTTTCTTTTTCAGACCAAAATACTAGGACTAATGAAGACATTTAGAACAAAAATGTGCTTTATCTAACTTGTGGTAAAAACTAGTATTTTCAGAAAACAGCATGATTTTTACAAATTAATCTAAAATGGCAAAATTTGAGCACAACTCTTCTTCATGTCTAGTTGTTGCCACTAGAGTGGGCCCAGTAATAACTAGAAGGAAGAAAATTAAAAGCAGCAAAAGCACCACATGTGCCTTTTGTCCCATATTGCGCCTGTGGCTTAATTATATAGCTGCATTGTGTGCTTAACTAAAAAGCAATAAAGGCACTGCAAGAAGTACCATTAATGAGTCAGCATCACCCCCTGAAGATCAGCTTAGTTACTGGAATCCTTCTGGTGGAACTGCCTTTTATTTCTTATGTTCAACATTCTCTCCAGCAGTCTATATCCAGAAGTCTTCTGTTTGTTGGTACTGGTGTAAATATCTACCGAAGGGTGAAGACTGAGGTAATGAGCAAGATCACAGTCAAATCCTACCAGTTCAGCAGTACATATCCACCATGTGGAGAGTAAACTTGATGAGAGGATGTTAGCATGGAAGTAACAACTTAAAACAGGAGATTTTAAAGTTGAGAATAGTCTACCAGGGGATGAAGGCACATGGTGAGAACATGCAAAATGGGGGCGATGCAGAGAAGATGGCACTCTATGTCCTGGAACTTGTTGCTATGAGGAATTTCAGGATGTTAGACATTTTCAAGACACTTATTGTTCCACTGCCTCTTCAAAGACTTAGGGCTTGGCCAATTTTAACTTGTGGAAGTTGCAAGCAAGCTTTCCCTGAAGGTAAGAACTGCGAAAGGGTAGAATAATCTTTATGTGAAAACCGCACAGTTTGACAGAGATAACAGTTTTTAAAGAGCTTAATTTTTATTTTTTTTTCTTTTTTTACAGGGGCAGGGAGACACTGTGAAAAAGCCTGCCTTGGAATGGCCACTGAACTGTGAACACACAGGGAAGGCACAACCTCTCTCCATGTACCATGGATACATCCATCAACACAGATTCAAGATGTGTTCCTGCATCAGTGAATTTAGGTGATCTTCAAATATACCAGTGCTTTTTTTTTTTTCCTTTTTTCTGTAGCACCCTTCAGTAGCCAGGGCCATGGCTTGTTGGGTCCACCCTGTGACTTTGGAAACACTGTCTGTCTGCTCTGGATTTAAAAACCTTATTTCTACGGTTTTCATTAGCTGATGCTCTATCCTGGTGTTGCCAGAGAACAGAAAGCACAAGGAACATATTTGTCCTTCTCTGAAAGTAGAATAATTCACTGGATGATCTCCATTCTTGGTGAATGGAAAACTGAAGGCTATAAATTATATTTTAAAAGTTCATTGTGAACACAGAGTGCTGCAGGAAGTAGCAAGCTTATCAAAGATCTTTACGTTGCCTACAGTATCAAATGCTATGTTCACAGGGAGACCAGACAAACAAATTGGCAGGATACGTCAATAGAGTCTAGACTGGAAAAGGTCCCCCGAGGAACTAATTTCCAAATCTTCAATCTACTACATTTTATATATTTTTATCTACAATAGTGCAGCTTTTCACACATCCATACTTTAACAGAAATGTAGTTGAATACTGTTGAAAAAGAAGTTAAAAAAAAAAAACTGCATGTTTTCCCAAATGCAACTGGAAGTCTCATTTAGCAAAATATTTATATATGTGCCTATGTCATTCTGACTGCCCACACACTTTCTGTATTTACTGAAGTTCATTCGATGCTTTAAACTAGGTATTGAAATGCCTTACTGAATCAGAGCCATAATTTAGATTTTTTCTTTAAGATGAAGAACAAGAAGCTAACTCTTGGAAGCCACAAGAGTTTGTAACAAAGGAGATGACGTGGGAAACCTTGTGCCCCTCTTCTCCTGGGTGACATCAAGAGCGTTGCCAAACCTACCATGTCAAAAGTACTCCAGATTGTGAGGTGTGACATAGCAGTCAGGTCATTCATCACCATTTCAAGCACTCTCAGATCATCGGCTTTGCAGTCATGTACTTTGAGAAGATGAACATCCCTTCAGTTAATGAAAATATAATGGAAAACATAGAAGACGATCATGAACTCTTCCAAAAGTGTTTGGCATTACAGAGGACAGGCCTGTTAAGAAAGAATTGAATTTAAAAAGTTGTGAAGGAAATCCCAGGTTACAAGATAGTCTCTGTTTTTAAAGGGCTATTTCAGCTTTAGCCCGTTTCTCATAAAAAATCGTGGTTTTGCAAGAATTTATGTCCAAATTGTGTGACAGACGGATTTTATGAGAAGAAACTTGTATTCATTTTAAAAAGCCAATGCCATTCTGTCCTGTGTGTTTTGTAGCATCACTCATTGGTTCTGTCTCCTAAGTCTGGATAAAGAACTTAATTGCTAATAACACAGTAATTGTTCTGATTTTGTGAAACTGAAAGTGTTTTTTTCTCCTTCAAGATATGCAAACCATAATCCTTGGTTCTTTTAAGGAAAAAAAAGTTTTCATCTAAATGCGACAGAGTAGGTATTACAGATTGTTTTGAAATGTGTGCACTGTGTATGCTCATAGACATTCTTCATGTTCTACCTACATAGCTGACATTGCATGCATTATGAAAAGAAAAAGTGGGAAAAGCACACCCTCTGAAGATATCATTAGTATTTCATTCCTCTCAATATGGTTATTTCTTTGGTTTCTTTTCCCAGAGAAGCATATCAGATGCCTCTGTGTATAACTCTTGTTATACACAGGACACTCCTCACTGCAGAATATCCTTTTACCAAGTTGATTCTGAAATCACTATGATTTTATGCCACAGTAAAACACGCTGTACTGCAAGAGCACATAGGCACTTATTTCCTGTTACAGGCAAACACCCATTGAGCACTCCTCACAACATCTGGGGAACCTGTCTCATCCTATTGCTTTCTTGTTGCTTTTCAGGATATTTCACCGAAGGAATGAGAACAAATCAACTACAAGCCTGCATGGAAAAAGCACACAAATTTTAGATGTCAATCTCCAATTACCAGTGACCAAAAGGGCAAAGGACCCCACTCCAGTGCCACACTCAATATTCCTCACCGGTGAGCTCTTTCTACAGCCCTCAATTTTCTTTGCCAACTCTTTTCTGACAGTGGAATTAGAAGTTTCTGGGTTTATCACTTCAGGTTTTGTCTGCATATCGTGTTTTCATCTGTCTACCCCCTGTCTGCCAAAGAGAAATGATCCCTCACCTCTATTGCCAAATTAGACAGCCCTTCCCATGATTCGTGGAAAATTACCTTAATGGTTCTTTTAGGGAACTGCAGTACTTTTAGGGACATCTTTAATGCGGCCATATCATTCTTTCACTGCAACACAGAATCCTTATTGAAAAGCAGCAGTAATGCTATTTATAACATTATACAATGGAAAACACATTGAAGTACCTTGAATGATGGTTCGTCAAAGACATGAAATTCAGAGTATTGCTCAGTCCTCTTTTTGGTGATACTTTTGAGTCTTTTCCGTAACTGGTATATTGCTGAAAGATAAGTGTGAGATGTAAAGAAATAAAATAGAGTAGTTAATAGGATCCTAGCAGCACTGACCAGCTCTGACATTTACTGCACTTTTTGAGTTTATATTTTCAGTCTGTCATTCCACAAATAGTCATAGCTCTTCACCTTTTGTGCTTTAGTTTCCTAATGCATCACTTCCATGCCACTGTTCTCTTTGAGCGGTGCTGTTCATGTTCAAAGTGTTGAAACAATAGTCAGACCAAACTGGTCTGCCTGAAAGAGTGAAAAGCCATGTTTTTCTGGTAGAAAAATACTGGTTTAAATATAGTGAAATCCTGTGTCTGCTACAGTAGTGCATTTAAAGAGAATAATTCTTTTAAGAGCTATTTTTGCCATTGCTGTGAATCTGAAGCCATGGTGGTGTTTTGCTGGTTTCTATTGTGCAATTTCAATGTGCAACAATCTCCCCGAGTTGAGTAATTTGGAATCCACGCACGCTTTGCAGTTTTGAGATAATTTGATCTGAATACCAGTTTCATGTAAATGTTTTGGCAGTAACGAAAATATCCTCAACATTACTATTTACAGCTTGAAACGCCAATAACGATTTTACATGCCGCAATGAAAGAGCATGATAGGCAGGTTAAAAATCATTAATTCTTCTCTCTGAAACTGATATTTTCCCACTGAAAGGTTTGAAAACAGATCTACTTTCAACAGGTTATTTCTGTATTAATGTGATACCAGCAACATCTGTGCAGCTACCTCTTCTCCTGTGGGCAAGCACTGTTCAAGGGAGCTTGAAGGAATGCAGCTCTTGCTTGCTTCACCCCACAGCTGTGGGGTAAACATGGGATACAATGTTTGAAGTGTTAAATAATTGGAGGAAGCGAATGGAGAATGATAACAACAGCAATAGGGAAATTTCCCAAGTGATTTGAGAAGGCTGTCTGGTGCAGGCTGGATGTTTGATTATGTATGCACTGGATACCCACCTCTCTCTACTTGAATAATACATGGGAACCAAGAATTGTTTACTTTAAAATATCAAAATCAGAAATGACCATGTTCTGAAAATAAAACCTGGGATTTTCAACTCTGCCACCTCTAGGAAAGCCCAGAGGGAGGGATAGGATTGCTAGAAATAGGGGAGGCCTCCTTTTCCCTATTTGTTATCATTTAACAAAATCTGAAGGCATCTTCCTTTGCAGAGAGCAGGAAATAATTTCTGTGCAGCTCCAGGGCCACACAGAGGTTATGGCGCCCATTTCACTTGCAGTGTTAAACAACAGAGAGCTTCAGGATCATACTGGGGCTGTACTGAGTTGCCAAACACTGGACAAGAGAAAACAAAATAGTGCGTGTACAGTGAAGTGTTTCTGGCTAGTAACAGATGAAAATACAGTGCTCTTTAGCTGCCTTCCCCCTCCAATATTCTCAAATAAAACTTGTTCTGTTCCACTACTGGGGAGATTTTTTAGGGTTCCATTTGGGACTGCATGATCAGCAGACTAAAAACTCCAGCCAAAATGTTCCTGTTAATTGGCAATCGTTTTTGAAACCTGAACATTGTGAATCAATGTTGTATTCTCAGCCTTTGCTCTGAGTCTGCTTGGAATTAGTAACCTAAGGTTTTATGGTGATAAACCCCAGCATCCTATTGAGAGGAACTAGTGTACGTGTTGTCTACATACTAACAAATGCAACCATGCTTCTGCATGTCACTGAAAAATAAAAAGGGCTGTACACATGGCATATATATATAGATATATAACACACTGTTACAACGTCTGCATCTGGGATACAGATTGTAGCTGCCACTTCAGTCCTGGGGTGAGGCAGCCCAAGCAGTGTCAAGAGCTGAGAGGTCCTTGCCTTATATAGAGTGAAATGTGTCACTGACTTCAGTAGCAAAATTCACAATGGCTTTTGTGTTTTGCCCAAGATTTATCATTGTTCCCCATATATGGAAGCAAGTATTTTACCAGAACAAGCATTAGTTCTGCTAATCAGAGAATATGTAATCACTTGGACAATTTGTAACAGTATTCATGAAATGTGAATCTCGGATTTATTTTGCACAGATCTTCTTAGTTTTCTACCCAAACTTGCTTGTTGTGTAAACTCTGAAGACTGTTAAATATTGCTTGATTACTTTTACACAATATTATGAATAGTGTGTTTGGAAAGGACTTCAGAATGGATCTGGCTACAGCCTTACAGCAAACCTCCCAAACTAATACAATTCACAAGGTTTGTATCGATGTGGAAAAATCACATTTCTTTACATCTGTTAGCTTACCTTAATCAGTTTGTTCTTCTCATTATGAATCCAGTTTCACACCTTCAACCACTGCGATTTTTTTGTTCTTATAGCCTCCTCCGTTTTCTTCCCTGTTTGTACGAAAGAAACATCCAGCATATCAAATGGCAAGCAATGCTGCCTGCTTTATCAAGAATAAACTCAGCTAAAGCCATTAGCTAAACACCCTGCTTGTTTCAATCCCGTTATCACTAGTCCTGCACTTTGCAGAGATCCCATCTCTCATTTGCAGGCTTGTGAGCCTTCCTACGGCACGTTGGCTCCAGATGTGCAGTCATAGCATTCCCAGTGGTGTGCGAGCAATGGGAATTGAGATGTGACACCCACCCAAAACCTCCCGCACCCCAAGTCCTGTCCGTAGCCACCTCTTAATGGGTTTTTCACACTTGCCTGGGCTTTAAGGTTCTGAACAGGGAACTTACTCCAGGACAGGGACCATCCTGCTGGGGATTCACAGAAGGGATATGCTCATCCCCTGCACTGTCTCAGGGAATACTGAGCAGGAATTTAACTGATTGAAAAAACAGAACTTTCCAAAGCCCCCTCTTTTTTTTTTTTTTTTTTCCTCCTTAGCTTAACTCATTCTGGGTCGATATTCTTTACAATATTAACCTTTCTTGATCAGTGCTTGTAATACAGCTGTCAGAGTCAACCAAGGAAGATGTTAAGAAATCTTCTCTCCCATTGTTGAATTGCCAAGGATGTTTCAATGAAAACACAGTTCTTTTGATCTTACTTATTTGGGAGCTCTTCTTCTGCAGCTTGTATCTCAGCAGAAAACCTAACAATCTGTTTGCGCTTACTGGGAAAAAGATATTGTCGCCTTGCCAGCATAATTACATTGGTGCGTTAGGGAATAATGAGTGAGAACAGATGAAATATTTAGATATAAATAGTCTGTTTTCATGTGCTGTGATTGTCGCTAATAAGGCAAGGACGTGTGGTTTGTGGTTCAGGGACAGGATGAGGAACCAGGACATCTGGGTTCCTTTCCCAGCCTTACCACAGTGTATTGAAGAAGTCATCAAGCCTCTTTGTACCCCATCAGTTGGAAGTGGATAATAATGCTCTGGGGACTAATTCTTTAATGCTGTCATTTTCAGATGTTCAGCAGGGAAGAGCGATGCAAGTGTAATGTTTTTACATACTAGAAATCGGTCCAGCTAAAACTTTAAATCCAGATACCTAGAAAGTTTGCAAATTAATTTATCCTATCATGACTTTCAGAATCTGACCTACTTGCAATACCATAGCAATGACAGAAAAACAAAAGGAAAATTAAAAATAATACAGAATGTTTCAACAAAACTCTGAAAGTGATCTTAAGTTGTCTGTGATAAGTTTTTTGAGCTTTACACTCAAGATCCATTTTTTTTTAACATCTAAAGTGGTTGAAGTAACAGTGGGATATACCTAATAGGGAGATGGCAACGATGTCCTTAAAGACTGAAATGTGCTCATTTGTTCAAAGCCTGTAAACTACTTAAGCCTTAACTCATAAGGCTCAGAAGGATTTAAAAAGGACCTACAGCAGCCATCTACAATGGCTACGTGTGTTTCCCCTAGTCTATGTGTATTTTGCTCACTGCAGCTGTAACTAATAAAACACTAAACCATAGATTAAAAGCATGTAATTAGTACAAAAATAAGTAAAGCCAAGATTTGTTCTACCTATGAGCACATAAGCACATTTGTCATGTAAGTTACAGTGGAAAAAAAGATGCTTTTTTTTAGCATGCATATGCGAACAGAGGCTCAAAACCAGAGTTGCTTCTTCAGCTGACAAGGAAAAAAACACCCTGCACTAGAGATTTGAAAGCCTTGAGTTTAAATCATGAGAACAATCCATTTGGGATAAACATTATATTATTTTAGGGTTTCCAGCATTTAACTGAAACAATTTTAGTAGTAAAACCAACAGTCTGTAATGCAATAATCATTTTTTTCACCTGCTGATGGATTCTGGATGTCAGATGGCTGTATCTACACTAGGAAGCTAAAGAGCCAAACAGGAACAGATCTACAGTTGGTAATGAGGACCCCACATCCCTATTATCCACGTGGTTGGGTTTTTCAGTCTGGTCCCATGTACTGACTGGCTGGAGCACAGGGATTGTCCTCCTGGAGTACCTTTCCGAAGCTGGTTTCACCCAAAAGTCCAGCTCATATGCAGTGCAAGAAAAAGCACAGGAAGTGGGAGAAATCAGATTTGCTTCAGAAGTGCAGTTCTGACCTGAACTAAAATGCCAACCTTCTCTCACCCTGTTTGCACACTTATCACTGAGTAAGGGTGGTACAAGGGCTTGACTTGTACTCAGAATCCAGCTGGCCAGGCAAGACTGAGTACAAATTTCTCCTTGCTTTCACCGAAATGCAGGCAAGGCTTTGCTCTAAATCACTGCAGTTAGACAATGCTAAAGCAGCAGCTGAAATACTTATCATGAAGCATAATTTCAGACTTTTTTTGAAAGAGCTTTATGGCTGTGTGTAAGAGAAATTGGCTTCAGTTTGTTGATTTTATCTCATTTGAGAACATTCTTGAGAACAGTTTAGTCCACTGAAATATTGGCACAGGAGATACAATCCAAACCAGGGAGAATTAGCTCTTCATCATCACTCTAAGCTAATACCATGTTATCTGTGATACTAAGGGAAAAGCAAACCTCCGGATGCACAATAAATGCTCCAGGAATCTGCAGCGATTCATTTCTTTCCTAACTGACTTGTACAACAAAATAGAGAATACAAGTCTATGGTTAAGCAAGCCCTTCTTTCCTTTCCCCAGTCCTTGCTGCCACCAGGAAAAACATGGGCACGTGGTCTGCCAGGAAATCTTCAGCACACCCTGTGTGGGTCCCCAGTAAGGAGACATAGGGAGCAGCATCCAAGGGCTTGCTACTGAGTGCTCCCAGCAGAGATGGAGCTAATTGTGTCTAGAGCAGACTAGAGAATTATGTCAGAGTGGGTGGAAATTGGTGAGCTGTCAGCTGAGATCCCTCATCTACCTCCAGAATATTAGAAAATGAGTGTGCTCAGGGGATACAGTGAATATGTACCAGGAGTCTCATCATCTTTTCCATGAAAATTGCGCTCATCATAACGATTCATATCATCATAATGTCTTTCACAGTAACTTCCTTAAAAAGACATCCCAAACCAACACCCCCCCACATATATACGTATCTTTAGCTGCATATCTATGTATGCGAAGTCATGTAAGTAACTATGCGGTGAGACAAAGCAGCCTGAACAACCAAAAGATTTAGCAACAAAAATTCTTCTCCTATGGCATAAATCCCACTAGTAGTAATTGCGTTTCAAAATGGAAAGCATAGCATTACATTATTTGAGCACAAAGGCCAAATTTCCCTGCTTGCCAGTAAGACCCCAAGCTCATGCAAACGCAGCAGGAGAAACCTAAAATGATTTTGTTTCCTAGTGGCACTAATTCCATTGCTGGAGAAAATGTAATTATATTTATATTGACATTATAATGATAACTTTATAGGCCAGACTCCATTCTGTCTGTTAGGCCACATATAAATGAAGCATCAGTGGAGATCTAAGGAATTTCTGTTCCTCAGTGGTAGTGTGCCTGGCAGCCCAGCTAGTAATTTCAGCAGTAAGAGGAAAGATCATCTTGTGAAAAAGATAGTTAAGATTTAATTTTGTCTTGATCACAGCATCCTCAGACAAACTCCACGTGGATTTTACGATGTGCAGACAAGGCTTTTGTCCTGTATAGCTGTAAAATTGGAGTCTCCACACAAAATCTCGTAGCAGTTACATATGTACGCACATATGTAATACAATGTGGGTTTAGGAGCACAAGGTTGTACTAAAGAGGAGTGGGGGTATTCATCATCAAGGTAATACTAACAAGGTGAAAGTATTCACTTGTAATAGAGAGTGAAAATGGCCATTTCCTCAGAACAGACCCTGTTACTTTCTCCAGCACAGCCACTTTTTCATGCTCAGCCCAACTTGCCACTCTCCCATGGCCATGCTGTTGGGGATAATCAGCAAAATCCCAGTGGAGGTCTGCTACTCGAGCTCATGAGTAGTCAGTGCATGTTACCATGCTACATGTTTCAGCATTTGTAAAGAACATCAACAAATGTGTATGTATTTATCTGAATGGAAACTTGTTACATGCTGTAAGAATTTTGAACAGGGCTTTTTACTAACTTCTTTGTAGGACAGAAGTAACCATCCTTGTATTACATGCTCAGTGCATATTAAGACAAAACAGCAAAGACAGACTTTAGCAAGACTTGTAAAGTTTTGGTGGGGAGTGGTGACACTATCCCCATGTTAAGGGCTGATCCTGCGTTTCAGGGAAGCAGAACAAAATATGAACTTCAGTTACAGTGATGAATTTTTCAACATAGAGCTGATAAATGATTGCAGCAGGCCTAGCACCCTGGAGATGCCTTGCTGTTGTGAACATTAATTGCCTGCTGGCTGTTTGAGGCTGTCGGGATCACATACAGTAGATTCAGACTGGAGCCTGGCACCATTTGACTTGTGGTTTTGCTTGCTTATTTATCAATCTCAGTTGCCTCTGTATTAAAAGAGAGGCCCTTCAGGAAAATGGAAGTTCTTTCCTGAAATTCAAGGAGGTGGGAATTGCAGTCATTCACTGCTGATACATTAATTTAATACATAGTGGCATTTTTAGGTATTTATCCTGGCTGTATTAATTTAATATGTTATGGTACATGTGCCAGCCTATCCTATTGTTTTCTCAAGGCACTTCATCACTGTGAGATATTGGTAGTTCTAAAGTCAGGATCATATAAGTATTCATTAATTCTCCTGCACAACTGGTGCCACTGCCCACAGGAGAAGCAGTACCAAGGGAAGGTATTTAAATTCAGGGTCGAAGGATTTCTTTTTCTTTATATAATTCATAAAGAAAACATGTCTAGAGAGAAAATTATTTGCAAGCTGGAACTGAAAATTAAACAATTAGAAGATAGAAATTGCTCAGCAACTTACACTTTTCAAAAGTTAGACTTCAGTTGACAATAATATTCTAGGAGGATCAGACCACATTGATTTTTTAAACAGGTTAAAAAAATCCAACCAACCAAACACAAAAAACCTTGTTTGGGTCAGCCGAACTTAATTTTCTTTGGCTTTTTCTTCCATATTCATACACCAGGACAAAACCCACCACTATAACACCTGTAATTAGGATAACCAGCAGAAGGATTAGTTAGACACTACCCTAGCTAACATTACATGTGTTGCTGGGGAAGTCAGTTAAGGTAGATTCATTTTTCCTAATTTAACCATATAAAAGAGAGGCATCTGGTTTAACCTACCACCCCATCTCCCTCTACTTTCTGTGGGAGGAGAGAAAAAAAGAAGAGAAATCTGAAGCTGTAGGTGGAATCACTCGCTCCTTGGTGGTGCCTCCTCCACCACTGGGGAGGGATGTGCTGGTGTATTTGAAACTCAGTTTTCTCTGTTACACAGAAATTTTATCACTCCTTACCACACAGAAGAGTTAGGAGGATGACTGCGGGACATTCAAGCATGAGGGCAGTAAGAGACACATAGAAGCCATTGACAGACTGTGCAGTGCTTGAGCTCCCTGTCCTCCGCAGCTGGATGTAGCTGAGAAAGTTTGTCAGTGTTCACAGTCCAAGCCTGGAGCACAAATTTGGCTGAGCTTGTTTTTTCCATTTTCGTCAATATTAAAAATATGTCCTGTATAGGGTACTTCTTCTGGCATTCACCACAGAAAGGCCTTTGCAGACAGAGTCCAACACCATCACATTTTTATAAATGCTTCATAGAAGTATACAGATTTCACAAGCTTACATTGGCTTAAATTGGAGGAATTTAATGTGCTTCACCAATGTTACCTGAGGAAATATAGCTCCCAAATGGTGATTTTTATTTTTTTTTTCCCAAATACAGTTATAATATGGGGGTGAATGTATGTTGGCACCAGGCCAAAGTTTCTTAAAGGACACTTAAACAATTTTAGATATGAAGCTTTCATAGCTTGCTTGTTCTTAACTGTAAGTTTTGCTTTTGCTGAACATTTTAAACTTAGTATTTTGTCTAAATTAATCTCTCCTCTAAGATTAAATATTAGAATACATATTAGATTAAATGCCACCTCTTTAATTTACAACCACACTGCTTTCTTTGCAGATGGTTTGCATGCACAATGCAAAAGTGAATAAAAGAATCGCTCTTTTATAATCTTGAAAAAAATTCAAGAGACTTGTGCAAATACCATAGAAAAATGAAGGATAACATACACACTAAAAGTAAATATAAATATTTGGGAAGAATGGCAGAAATCCTTTGCTTATGTACAGAACCTCCCAGAGTACTAACAGTGGTCCATCATTTTCCGACGTTCTGGGGTACCTTTGTGTTCCTAAAACTAATAATGTTGTTCAGTTGTCAGTGGTTTAGAGATGCCTGAATTGGTTAGTGAAAAAGAGAGGTTTTCTGGCAGTGGAATATTTCTTCACAGATGACAATAATTCCTGACAGCTTCTTTTTTCTTTTTTTTTTTTTCCCCCCCCCCAAAGGACAATGATACCAAAGGTATAACTCTGAAATCAACAGAATTAAATTGCCATAAACCCACTGCTATTGAAATCACATTTACTTGTTATTAGTTTGGTTTAGTTGGTTGGTTTTTACCTGGAAAGATTTAGGAGATCAATTTATAATATATAATGCATTCAGTTGACAATAGATGTAATAGGAATATGGTCATATAGTTATAACTAGTAAAAATGCACCAATGGCAGAGAATAACTCAAGTATAAACATAATGTCACTGGCACTGTCAAATTCTAAACTTACTACATGACATCTAATAGGAAGCCAGTATATGAAAGCACTAATGTTTAATATTATAGGTAATCTCTGTCTGATTTCATCTGGAATTACATTTATCTGCTTCCAGATTTAACTAGGTCCATAATAAGCAAAAATACAACATGTGAGTTGGAAATGCATATATCAATTTGTATAGAATAGCAGATAATGTAAATTTTATATTTTCATCACAAAATCAAGCCACTTGAAAAAATATATTTTGCAGGCTACTTAAAAATATTTTTTCCCAGTTTTTCACTCTTTTTTGGAGCTGAGGTAATACCAACAGTGTAGCAATACTTTAGTGCAAGAGAGAGCATTTTTGCAGGGATCCTGCCCTGTCCAGAGTACTGGAATTGTCATAGCAGTGTCATTGGAAGAGTCCCACTTCCGTTTCTAGAGGAGATTTGAATAAACATCTGTGCATTTGGATGATCATCTAAATTAAACTGAGTATGGCAGAGACTTCCTTTAGTAGTTTCCCTGTCACTAAAGGAAATGAGAGTGTAATTTTGTAAGTCCAATTACAGCATGACTGTTTAGCAGCCAGACATCAGGTCAAATGCAAAAAGACAAATTAGATGTATCTCACTGTAGATTGGTTTTTGTCTATTACACCTCAGTACTTCAGAACTGTACTACATCATATGTAATGCCTTGTTCCTGAACCAGAGAATTTATAGTCCATTTACATGATAGACTACATAGATGAAGGAAAAAAAATGTAGCCATTTTTAAAGTCCCACTAATTCTAAAATAGTCTTATTGTGAATCACAAATTGTGTTTTTCTTTTTATTCACTTGATTTTATTTTTTTTTTTTCATTTTATCTGGTGTGCCATCTCAGTCATTCAAGTACTGCTGCATCACTAGGACATATAATTTAAGATTAAACATAAAAAGATGAATTATTAAACTAATATACAGGTGCTTCAGGTTCAGTCTGAGTGGGGATGGATCATTCCTTCCTTCTTCCTGAGCACTGATTTCTTTCCAAAGATTTGCTGAGACAAGAATTCACCTACTATCAAATCTATATCACTTTCGTGCACCTTGTCAGCTACTTCTTTCCTCAAAACTACTATACAAATATTGAATAAGGTACATGAACCATTTATTGGGATGTTCCTTGTGTAAATATACAGGTTTGATATAGTGGGCTGTTAGTAAAGCAGTCACGAAAAATGGAGAATGGCTTCAGATAAGCCATCTCACAGCAAACTCTCATAATATAAAACCTAAGCTGTTCACAAAATTCTTATCTTTTGACCTCAGCCACCTTAGAAAATTGTTTTGACAAGACTGAGGGCCAGACAACCAAAAGGATTGTGGCTGGTTGAGATAGACTTCCCAGGAGCTAGGAATGGAAGTCACCACTGTGGAGCCATTCAAAACCTCATCATCTGTGTCCATGTTGCCCTGTAAAACCAGCTTCTCTCATGCCAAATTCACCAGCTGCCCATCATTTGCCTGGATCAGTTCACAGGAGGCCTAGTTAGCACGCAATGAAGAGATTCAGGGAGGTTCAGCTATTTCAGGTTCCTTCCAAAGCCAACCTGGACAACGCAGGTCCCCACAAGCACCTTGGCCAGAAGCTGCCCCACAGAGCAGTGCCAGGGTGGGCAGCAGACGTAGTCCCCCTCAGCTCCTCACCATGCACTTCTGCCTCTCTGGAGCCCCTGCCTGGAGGTTGCGAGTGAGCAATCCAGTTAGACCAAAGGATTCCCACCACCTGCTGGGATGGTAGCAGCCACTTGCAGCATGCATGGATGGCCAGCAGCACATGCTGTTGTTTCTAACCAGACCAGCACTGTCCACATGAATATAATCGAACCCATATAATATAATCCAGCGTGACTTTGCTGGTAGTACCTAGCATGTCCGTGAAACCAAATGAAAAACTTAGCTGTGTGGAACTGCAGCACTCTGGTAAAGATTTGTAGTGCTTTAAATTCAGTATTATTTTCAGCAGGATACCCTTCCTGCAGAAAAAACTTCTGTTTTCTGTATCACATTCTTGCAAACAGGGTCAGCTTCCAGGAGTTTACAGCACAGTGAATGAAAATTAGTGCTATAAATCAGGTGGCTCAATTATTTCAAGAAAGCAAAGTCATGTTGTGCCAGAAATGATTCTTCAAATATTTATGTATGAGTATTTATGAGGCATGAACTCTTGTCTATATACATGTTCAGCTTAGCCTGAATTCAGCTGAGATAGGCTAAATCACAAAGTAGCTAGTATCTAGCGGTTAAGCTTGCATTTGTACTCACATAAAGCATAAAAGTGTCCTGGATTTGCATCTAAAATTGATGTTTGACATGTAATCATCCAACTTGTTCCTGTAGGACACTGCAGAATCAAACTTTGAGTCTTGGTTCCCACTGCTCAGTGCCATGCATGATCTCTGTACCTCTCCAAGTGCACAAAGCAGGAATGTAAGACATGAGAAGAGTAACATTATGGTAACTGCACAAATGAACACGACTAGAATAACGCTAGAAGTGAGGCGAATTAGGTCTCATGAGTATAAATTTTGAGCTAAAGAATTAATTTATGTTTGTTTGAAAGAGCTCAGTGAGGCATAAAAGTGCTCAGGAATGTTTAATCCTAAAGGGAATGAGATTTATCAAAGCAATTTGAAAGGATAATACATTCATTTCTGGTTCTACAGGCAAAGAAAAGCCAAAACAGTCCAAAGGATTAACAATTTAGAAGCTATTTTTCATGTGGCCAACTTAGAAGCTCTTTTTCATACTCCTATCATTACTTTGGGTTTGATGCTACTGTGAAAGGCAAGTGTAGCTCTGGTAAGCAAATACTAACTTGTGATAAACATTAGGTCTACGTTTAAAAAAGAAAGCAAATATATATATATATAAAAATACTTTTGACTACATACATAAATATTTTTGAGTACATACATAACCTCTGTGTTATGTCCTTGCTCTTGGTTTTATATCCAGTCATCACGGTGTTTCCCTCTTACCTTAGGTTACCTTCTTACCTCCTGAGTACAGAGCAACCAGAATCTGTATTGGGAAAAAAAAAAAAAAAAAAAAAAAAGTTAAATTTAATTCATAGTAATATGTAATGGACTAAAAACTTCAGGCAGAGGTTATCTCAGTTGGTATACTAGACCAGAAGAACTAGAAGATCTGTTACTATCAAACTCATTAGAGAGACAATGAAAAACTTTCCTAATGGTGTTATCTTTCTCCTCTCTGAAAATAGCTATTACCCAAATGATCAAGCCATTAATACTACATATTTACTTAAACAAAATTCCCATTTATCTGACAAACCCCAACACTAGAGTTCCCCATAACTAAAACTGCTATTCAAAGATTATTGTGGCATAAGCGGGTGGAGGGTTGGCAATTTTCATCATTTCAGGGAAAGAATCATTAACTCTGATAGATTCCACCTACTCTTTCCAGAAGTGAACTTGGTCCATAGCTAAGCAATCTGCAGGTTATCATTATGACCAAATCCTGAAGTCTTACTCCTGACTGAACTCCACTTGGGATCCATTTGTGTGGGGTTTTTTATGCTTCAGTAAATCTGGCCCTTTGCTTCTGTTTGTCCCTCGTCCAGTCTAAAATTTTCAACTGGATAGAAATTAAGGCATCATCTTGAAAACCCTTACTGAAAAGTCTATTTTCCAAGCATTTTATGAAGAGCTTAAGAGTATGGATTTCAGCTCAGGCTCTAAATAGAACAATTTAGTTTGAATAAAACTCACTATATCTTTACTGTAAGGTGAAGCAATAAAAATACGCTTCATTTCTCATTTTAGGACAGACTGCTAGATATGACTTCGGTGCAGTTATTTTAACAGGTTATGAGGTATTAATCTCTACTTACAGGTAACAGGTTCTTATAAAATTACATTATCACATGTATAAACAAGCAAATTGATGGTAGATTTACAATCATTTTGTAAATGTCCCTGTAAAAAAATATCTGAGCCTATTTGACATGTAGTAAACTACTGAAAAAAAAACAATGAGGACAACTTGATGAAACCAAGTTCATCACCCTAAATACGAGAGAACCATCTAATCATTAAATGAACCAACACCTTGCCAGATCACTGACCACATGAAAGTTAAGGATCACGGTCATATTAGACAACTACTCCATGTTCATAAGAGACACCAAAGATTACTTCCAGATTATTTCTAGCCCTACAACACAGAAAAGCTGTGATGTTAAAAATGTCTAAAGCTTTCTACCAGTCTATGTGTCCATTTCATGATCAGGGCTTCCATTAGCTCCGCTCTCCATCCTGTACCACTGTTTTACTAATACAGAACATGCTTGCTTCTATGCCATATACCAAATTAAGGCAGGCTAAAAAGTGTACATATGTCTGGATTTACAAGAGACTTGGCTGAAAAACTTCCAGTTAGTTCCAATCCACTCTCACCAGTTCTCATGGAAGCTCAAGAGCTGTAGAAATCTCATCTTCTGACTCTTGAGTTTTCTTTAAATTGAATGCAAATTTCTTTATTGCAAATCTAAAGTGAAAGTGTAGAGAATTATTTTTCTTTTCGGAGAGTTTTAGGTTTGGTTCCTAGTGCATGCAAATTGAAATCATTGTCATTTATGTAGTCCAGAAGTTTCATTTCTAATGGCCTGAAGTGCACCATTATTTTTACATGTTCTTACACACTGGTTTGACTTAAAACTTGTTTTGTTACAAAGGGGTTTAGTTTCCAAGTAAACTAAGTGGCAGAGCAATTCAAAACATATTGAACCAATTTAAAATATTAATATTAATATCCACAACTGACTCTAAATCAGAAAGAATTACTCTGGACTTAGTGAGTTTTATTTCTGCAGTTTATATTTTTAAAATATAGTAAAACATATTGCATGTATTCACTTTCTTTAAAATAGCAAATCTACAACACAGGGACCAACATGTTCCTTTTTTTTCCCTCGTGTCTAACACATTCCTTTATACAGCAGAAAATGCTGGATTTCTTTTCCCTTCAGTGCAAAAATAATCCTGTAAATGCACTTTTCATGTCCCAATGTGTAGCCACTTTGTTGAACTTTTAGATTCTGCAATTAGATAAATGATATTTCCTAGTGCAGATCTAAAGCTGCAAGTACAATTTATCTTCAGCTCAGTAGTGATACAGGCAGTTACTTTCTTGGGACCAGATCCTGTAAACCTGCGCATGAGTAGCTTCACCCATAACAGCTGGTCTGGCAATGACCATTACACTGTTCATGTGAGTCAGGGTGGGTCAAATCGCACCCTGAGGTGGAAAATGCTTGCAGGGTACCAGTCTTGATTTTTCAACATAAGGTAGTAAGATTACACAAAGAAATAAAGCATAGTCAGGAATATCAAATGGTCATGAGATGCTTTTTTACATCATTTTTCCCTATTACTTTAAAGATGGTCCATAATTACAATAAGCCCCAACTTAAAGCTCTTATCTACAAGCACTAATGCAGGGCCCTTTGAAACTGATGACAACAACAGGGTGATGCATAATAGCACAAGGCATTTTTTGCCAAACTGGGTCTGCAGGAAACATCTGCTGAGCTGGAGGTCAGCATGGTCCTCCTGCCTCAGTCCCAGGTGAAAGTAGCAATGAAGAGCAAGCAAGAGTAGCTCAGGCAAAGCTTCTGATGAGTTAATACAAATCTCATAGATAGCAAGCGATACCAAACTCCATGTCAAGTGGTTGCAAGATGCTTGCACCCACATTTAAAGAGTTCATGCTTCTGGCATGGTTTGCAAGGTGGCATGGTGCAGCTCCACCACTCATTGCCATTTCAAGAGCAAGAGCTTGGCTTCCAGTGGTGGAGAACACTTCCAATGCAGCATTTGCACTGCAGTTATTGGGTCTCATAGAGACCACCAAGGAGTCAGGAGAGTAACCCACAATCATTTCTGTCTGTAACTGTACTGGTTGCCTGGGGGCTGGACAGCAAACTCTCCTTAATGGTGCCCTTACACAGACCTCTCTATGTTATCCCGATATATCAGCACTTTACCCTGGCATTTGCTGCTGTGCCTTTACACGTGTAACACCTTCAGGATTTGACCCACACAGAGGCTACTCCCACAACCTGTCCCTGTGACCTTTCCAAGAGTGTTAATGATTTAATGTTAATGGCTATCCACTTCAGAAAGGGTTGTGGAGACTGGGGCATAAGAGGTCACTATTATTTAAACACATTTGGTTTGTCTTTCTTCTCAGAAACTTTAAATCAGAAGTTTCCTTACACAGAATGCCCAAAACGACAGCTTTAGGATGTGTGAGAAAGACACAGTTAATTTAGTGCAAAAGATAAGACATTTCCTCGGGGAAGCACTAATACCAGGCCTATTACCTCTCAGTGTCATTTCAGATTAGTGTACTATAGAGAAAGGAATTCAAAATTTTTTTAATTGAAAGATATTTGTCTTTTCCTTAATAAAATAAGTTTCTGCCTAGAGGCTAAACAGTTTTAAAATTATTTCTGAATTACATGTGATTTCTTGACAGTTTATCCAAAAAAGGAGGATGCAGTTTATCTGTTGCCTTGTTAATTTATGTCAGACCAGAGAAAGGAGAAATATATTTCCTCAGTGACCCAAAGGGAATAATTACATAAAAAGATGATCAGAAATACAAAGTCCAGACTTACCCAACTTGCTAAGATTTGCAGCTGTAACACACATATCCCCATATGTGAATACATGTACATACATGGCATAATTATGCATGCAAAATGGAGGAATAATTATCCAAACTTGGTGGTTAAAAAAACAGTTGAGAAAATAATATTACTTAGCTTATCTCCCTTTTTTTTTCTGGATGAAAGTTCAAAAATCATTGAAAACACCAGTTATAATCCACATAGGTTTTTGACTCATAAGCCATGAAATGACCTCACAAAATGGAGAAAATGTAAATATCCTTTTACTTTTAGCATGCTCTGAGAAGGAACATTCAAAAACTGTGATCTGGACTTGCTCAGTCCTTGACCCATCAAGAGAATTGTACTTGGCCTTGGACCAGCCCCCCTTTTCCCCTAAACTAAAGTATGAGATTTGAAGCAAAGTCCTCGCTTTGGCTGGCACATGCATTAACCGCAGGAGCCTCCTGGAAAGCACAGTTCCCTTCAGTGCAGATGACATGCTGGAAGATTTAAAAACATTAAACAGAGGCAGTTAATTAAATATTTAGATGATGGTTTAGGTAAAATTGTGCCTTGCTATCTATCTCAGAGGTCTAAACGCAAAGGTTTATGTGCACTCTAATTTGAGAGGCAGAATATTTAAAATGGCATTCTGCAGGTTGATATTTCTATAGAGATATGGACTGTCGCAGTCTCTGGGTAACTGCATGGCTCACAGAACACTTGTGTGTTAGGGTGCCTTGGGCTTTTTTTCCTTAAAACTCCTTCCAAACAATTGTAGTTTTTCAACTTCTCCTCATGCTTGCATAATGGTCATGTTTCCTCTGATCTTTACTGAAAAAAAAATATTTTCCTTTTCTAACTCAATCCTTAGCCATTGTTTTCCCAACCTCTAGTTCTCAAGAAATATGA